ATAGATAAATTAAGTTCGGACAAACGAGCTTAGGCTAATCGGGCCGCCCCCGGGCATACTCTTTTAAAGCTCAATCAAACTTTTCACAATAATGACCACATGAGTAAGCCAAAAGGTAACTTTATTGGGAATAGATGTACATAAATTCTGCACCGCCTCCACAATATACTATATTTTGGAATGGAGATAGTACTATAACACTCAGAACAGAAATATATTCATGAAGCGTTACAGTACTAACATTATACTGCCATTAAAAATAACTAAGTATGTAATTCGGTTGTGCTTCTACAGAAAAATATGGCTGTTACAAAACTTATTGTTCACTACTGAATAAGGTTTCTGCGATGTGCACTCAATATACGTATGAAACAAAATACAAAATATTTAAGTGCAAATCTGATTAAGTTCGATGTCAATGAATAAAACACATATATTATTGAAAAACAATCATCGTAAGAATCTCTCACAACAGATTATTTATGCAAATAGTGAATAGTGTCATACTAGTGCATAGATTGGGCACTGAATAGGATTTATGTGAAGCAAGAAGGCTATGGCGATCTTCAGACCTATTTACAGTATAAATTTTAAGTATGGAGAAAAATCTCAATAGAAAATAAAGTAGAGCACACCTGTAAATACTGTAGAACGGTGGTACATATTCCTACTTCTAAAACTGTTCACAGGTTTCACATTCACCGGGAAAATTATTAAGTTTTTGACAACATTCAGAGAGGCCCTGCTGACAAAATCTGAGTAAATTGTATCTTGTATCTAGATAATTGTCTGACATGTTGTGAGGTCATACACAAGATCCACAAAAATATATATCTTGAGGCAATGACAAATTATTTCAACATTAATTACAGATACATTCTTAAAAAAGAAAAATTCCCGTCCACAGAAAACTACTGTACTACAAGATCATTAATGAAAAATCAGACTTGTGCAAGGTCTAGTTTTAAATTAACCAACTAATTTAGATCATTTGTTAGAGCAGAATAAGACAGTGCCATATGTTGCAGCATGCAGCACCAATATGGCCTTCAGAGATTTAATGATAAATGAACTGGAGAATGAACATTCTAGATTAGTGGTTTTAACCTAGTGTACTTAACACAACTGATAGCTTGTACTTACATATGTACATAATTACAAAGTAAATCTTTAATTAAAATATATATGTTTCAAAACAGCTTAAAAATTAACTTTACAAGCACTCTCTTCCAATTTGCACAGCTCTGCTCTAATTCCTCAGACATTATAAAGAAAGACAAGGAACATAAAAAGATATATAAGAGGAATATATAAATATACACAGACACAGACAGTGCTAGCCAGGTTACGGTTACACAGCCAAGCCAACCCTCAGATCTTTTTTTCCTAATGTTGAGATGGAGTTGAGGAACTGAGTATACTCAGGAAGGTCAAAATGAAATAATAGGAAGTGGAAGTGGAACACAGCAAGACTAAACAGTGCATTCAGAGTTGCACTAGAAAAAGTAACTATCGGTAGTTCAATAAAATACTGACAAGGCACAGTTAAGAATAAATTTGACACTGGTTGAACTGTCACTCCATCACCAATAAACATCTCAAGGGTGTCGTCAACATTACACTTTCAAAAGAATGCTAAAGTAAGGTAGGTAAGGGGAACAAATGACAAGAGGTAAGCCGTGAAGGAGTGCCTAAACAATCTTCAAAAATAAAAAACGATACATTTACTGTACAAATCTGACCACAATAATTGAAAATATAAAAATTTTGGACTAGAGAAAAATTTAATCTATTAAAAAATCACACACATTTATTTGATTCTGAGCCCCACCCATTTTTCTGATTTTAAAACTCGAAGATCGGGATGTGGCTATGAACACGTGCCCGTTTTCAAGGGGTCTTCTGGAAGTATTTCCTGTGACTCCCCTGTAAAATTCGGGATGTGGCTGAGAATCAAATAAATAAGGTAAACTTCACATGATCTGGACCTATCTTTTTCTTGAAATAAAAAACAATCAAACAAATAATAGCCACTATAAGTTTTAAGAATTACAGCAAAAGCATGGGAATTAAAGACACTTTGAAAGTAATACACTCATTTTCACTTGAAACTAAATAAAGCACCAAGAAAACTAGAGCTACATTCTGATAATTCTTCTTGGAATAATCCCCATGTTTGAATGCCAATAAGATAGTGACACTGCATTGAACATAAACTCAGCCATACAGAGTCCAATATAGTAAGAACAATACATATTATTAAACCAAATGAAAAATTGAAACAAAAATCATATGGTGAAGGAACAATACTACCTACGAAGCACTTTCACTCAAAATGAGAATGTTACTACTAAAAATTAGAAAAAAAATAGTACCCAAGAACACGACAGGATAAGAACTATAAGAAAAGTCAACAAGAAACAAAATTTCTAAACAGAAATATTGGTCTCTGCAAAAGTCAAGATTCACACGACTTGCTCATGACTCATGACATATTTTAAAGAGAAGCCTTAGAATCAGGTACTCTTGTACAGTGCAAGAGCATCAACGCTTTCTTCTACAAACCTTCTTGTGCTCTTTCTGCCAGTGGGTCTGCTGGCATTCAGTGCTGCAATATGCAGTGTTCCAGCAACAATGGTAGATTGCTTCCTGTTCACAGTTGTAGCACTAAACATAAAAAGCAGAAATCAGTCATTCATATGATTTCTGGCTTTTGTACAATAAAAGTGCGTATAAAAATATGATGGCAACTGCAATATTTTAAAACTCACCCACTGTTTCTTCTTGACTTCTGATATTGCTGCTCGATGTTTTTCCTCCAGGTCAGCAATTACCTCTGTGTGCTCAGTCTGCATACGTCCTAAATCTTGCTCATAACTTCGCACAGCATTAGCAACTGCTTGTTCACGCTTTTCTTCCAGCTCAGCTCTCTCCGCGTCAAATTCACACTTTTGCTGTAAGATAAAAGTACTCAAATAAGTTAACAGAAACTATAATTAAATTGAATCTTATCAATCTTAAGGATGTCTATAAAAAATTTCAACAATTAATCACTTTTTCTAGAGCTTCCTTCACAGCTTTAGCAATCTCCTTGCTGCTAACTGTTGGGGTGATAGGTGCTTTCTTATTTGTTTGAGTAGCAAAGGAACGGTTCACTGGTTCCTCACATGATGACGTGACTGTGTCCTCTTGAGAAGTTCCATCCTTCTGTGAAAACAAATGACATTAGGTTTCCATTCCACTATTGACAGCAATTTTCGGTCATTAAATTAATTTTTTTGACTATAGTTCATAGAGACACATACCTTTGACTTTCGCTTTACTGATGTAGATGTAATACATGCATCCTCTTCTGTATCTATTTCTTCTGTTTCCTTATGTTTCCGCTTTCTGCCCCGCTTTTTAGGTGAGGGTATTGTAAGTGATTCTTCAGTAGCAGCCGGGGGCTCCGAGACTGATTCAGTCTTTGGTAAATCCTTGGAGATCCGCTTTTTAAAGGAAAAAAAAAAGAGTTATAAACTGAAAATTTGTACAAAAAAATAAATAGTACAAGGCAAACGGATTGTTTTAGCAACCTCTTCCTCCCCATCATCAGTGTCATGTTCCTGATCTGCTTCTGCTTCCTCTTCATCCTCCTCATCTTCCTCATCTTCATCCTCTATGTTTTCTTTCTCTAGTTTTGAATCCTCATCTTCAGAATCCTCCTCATCTTCTACTTCATCTTCTGATGACTCAAACTTTGTAAAGTCGTTAGTAGATCGTCTCATTTCATCCAGAAGTGATTGATGGCGTTTAAGCTCCTCACACGCCTTATTCCAGGAGGAAGTTTTTTTTACCTGAAACACATTGTGATGAAAGTTAATGGGAATATAAAAGTAAGTGATTACATAAACAGATAGGTAAGGCAAGGTGGGCCACATTAGGGGTACAATGAGAAAATGACAAAATTTGTAAATTCCAACAGAGTTGGAGAGCTAACATAAAATACAATGCTATAGAGTAAATCTTTCCAGCAAGTTTTGAAACTACATACATATATTACGGCTAAAGTCCCCAGGTTGGGTAATGTGCACATTACTCGGATAAAGTTCACATGAACCAAAGCTGCGGCTTAAGTCCCCTGAGCCCCAGGGCATGTGTTTTATGGGAACTTGTGACTCTACCAATAGGGAACAAAATTAAACTGCCGGAAACATTTACACAATTGCACCCAACTACAACAAAGATGAGTCTAGGTTGGGAAACATAAGAGGAGAAAAGGGGAATATTCTTTAAAAACCACTGAAAAACATGCAATTTATTTTAACAATGAGAAGTTTATCTAATTCACCTCACCCTCTCTTAAGATCAGATAACATTTTAATAAAAATAGGTTCAAACATAGATTAGAATAACATTGAGGTACCCACTTGCAGAGAATGAATGTTGACAGATATTTGCCTGATAAATGCCTTTTCAATTAAGGCACGCTGATGATGGCCGCCAAAGAAACGTACATCATGTACATCTTTATCATCAACTTTTATGACCTGTATTTGCAAAACAAATAAATAAACGGAGTAAAACCGATTGAAAATAGAAAATAACAAATTTAGAACTTACTTTTGCAGGCCAGTAAGGAAAGCCCTTTTGCTTGGCATACACAAGCTGGTGAGGTGGTCGACATGGTTGACAAAACCAATGCCGGTCTAGTTTCTCATTTGACATGCGGTAACAGTCTCTACACTGACGTATTTCTTGCAAGTCATAGTTGCAATCACGAAACATCTGCCGTGCCATATCAGCTAAGGGACTGTGAACTGGAAGAGAAAATAAATATTAACATACTAATAAACTAGTTCAGAACAGAAGATTTAAAAACAATTTTTAATATCTATTTTCCATGGCATGATGCTTCAAGTGTTTTAATTGTATGTCTACAAGAAATAACCACTTCAAATTCATCAGAATGACAAAACAGATAAAATTGGTCAAGGGACACAAACTAGAAAGAAAATTAAGAAGGGCATAGCACACAACCAAGCAAGGAGAGGATATAAAAAATGACTAGACAACAAAAGGTAAGTTAACATTATCTAAGAGCTCAAACACTGCATGATAGATAATTGAAAAAAATTAGGTTTCAAACAAGAAAAACTAAACGATTGGTCTTTCGATGTGAATAAAAAACCATATTGCACCAGTGCTGCTAAACAGTGCTAGCATAATGAATTCAAGACCCTTACCCCATGGTGCATCTCGCTTCAATCTTGTTTTTGTTCCATCTTTGAAAGCATTAAATAAAGAAATACACAAAAGATTTAGCAGGTTCAAAAGGCAAGTTAAAAGAGTGAACCCTTAGCAAAACAATTGAGATGGATAAATACATTCATAGGAACATGAACAACAACAATTTTTAACGTTCTAAGCCGTTTGGCCTTGCAAAATGCAAATGAGATATCAATATTGATATAGTACAGTGCAAAGTACTTAACACCAGCATACCAGTACTGCTGGCGAGGGGTAGATAACTCCCACTCCCCTGCTAAGTGAACACACGTAATGCTGCCCAATTCAAACTAATTCAAAACAATTCAATTTAATTCAACACAATTTAGAAATAATTCAAACCAATTCAAGACAATTTACATTCAATTTAAGTCAATGCAAGCCAATTTAATTCAATTCACACTAATTCAGTAACATAAAATCACAATAATTCAAATCAATTAAAAAACAATTCAACAAATTCAGTCCAATTCAAGCCAATTCAAATTAAATTCAAGGCAAATCAAATTCAATTCAAGAAATTTGTACACCCTATTCAGGAGTTATCTACCCCTTGATTGCTGGTGATAATATGGGATGACATATATTGCTATGAGAGCTCACCTCCATGGTAAATAACAACATTGTGGACAATTGTTTGAGCATCAGCACGAAACTGTGCAAGACTCTTGTATTTGTTTTTCAGGGCCTTTTTCTCCATTGTTTGTAGATCCATTGGGCTGTTAAAAAATAAAGGTAAACATTATTCAAACTTATTGTTTTCAACTGAGTATATAAGACCCCCTATTCTTCCCTGAAAAATTCATCCCTAAAGTAAGTGGACGTCTCACATGTCCCCATACATTTCAGAATAGCTACGAAACACATTAAATTCCTCCTTCACACGCATAAAGCACCACACGGTAACCTAAATTCATGTTTGAACATCTAGATACTAAATTAAATGTGCTTCTCAACACATTATAGGTTCATTTCATGTCCAGGCTCGCCCGTCCACCGTCCACCGCGGCCTCCTAGTCCGCCACAACGCGTCTAAACCTGCCTGCCTCTCCTCCCCATCTGGAGGGTGACACCAATCACCCTTTAGAAATGTTTGGGAACTCTCCAGAGACTTTAACAATCACATTCATGAATGAAAAATGGAATAAATCATATCTACCAGTAAATAAGATTACGAATCCGCCAAGCAGCATCAGCATCATCTGTGACCCATTTAATATTAGAATCACTTGCAGCTCCACTAGCTCTCCTTTGGTGTGATGTGACAGAACTTGTTCTATCAGATATGTATGAGGAGTTGCTGGGTACTGTTCTGTCCATTATTGTGACGGGAAGCTTAAAAATAAAAAAATTAATGTTACACAAGTGGCAAATATTGCATTCAATTTTTAAATATTATTCCAATTCATACTTTTTCCTTTAGTCTTGCACATGTAAACGTCAAGAGCCGATTAAGCTGTGATTTCTTAATTTTGAAATTCTCTTCAACGCCTTCACACATCTGCTACAGAGATATTAATTTTGAAAGTTTCATCCTACAATACATCACATAAATTGTCAAACTTTATGCATTACCTTGCACACATTGCACACAAATTTATTTTTAACATCTTCTTCAGGCAATTCTTCTTTTTCAATACAAGCTAGGTGGTATACTCGGTGACAAGATGTACAGCAAATTACATCACCACCACTGTGGCATATAAAACAGTACCAATCATGATCATCTCGTACCTGAAAAAAAAAAGAAGTGAAAACCAGCCTTAACTGTTAAAATAAATGACAAGACTACCTATACGACTAATAAAAAGATCTTACCATTGATTTTGGCTTAGGAAGTCTGTAACTCTCCTGTTCCACTCCAATTTTGGTGCCTTTATATCCGAGGCGTTTAACGAGCCGAATAAGCCCATCGCGGACGCAGTAGCTCAGCTGGCGTCGAACTTCATCTAAAATATGTATAAAAAGTATTTCAAGACTGCCCCAAAAATGTATGGCAGTTAGATAATCTTCAACATCATCCTAAGTCAAACACACCTTCACTGACACCATGGATGCGACTCATATAACGAGAGATTCTGTTCACATCAGGAATTTGTCTCTGGTAGCTTGTAATTCTAATAGCATCCCAAAGCTGTTGTGTTGTCTGTGGGCTTGAAACACGCCGCCGCGACATCGCTAGAAATAGCCTGAAAAAAATTATTAACAGTTAGTGCTGATGCTTTAATCTGAGAACTGATTAGGATTTACGACTACAGTACATATTTCAAAAATATAAGAAGCACCACTGCAAGAAGTTCCATCCCCCTGATCAGTGTTAAACTGGCCATGCCACACAATTGTACTCCACACAAGTGCGGTGCAATGCAATCGGCGGTGGAGGGTGTACTCTGTAGGAGTTCCAAACTACAGCTTTCAAACAAAAGCAATAAGGCAAAAAGCAATAGTAGGGGAACTATGCCTTATCTTCTTTTAGCTACTGCAACATGAAAATAACAGGGTAGGGACAGGTGTTTGGTTGATAGTCTCACAACACCATGTGGGTGGTGAGCTAACAGTACTCGACCCCTATGGGTGAGCCAAACAACAGCTAGCTGTCAGTATCTTGCTTCCATCCATAGGGTGTACATGCAGGGGACAAGCAGAAGTAGAGGCAAGAAGAGGAAAGCTGCACGAAAAAGTGATTTGAAGAAACAATAAGATAGTATATAAGTAACATGTGGCCAACAATAATCTTGTCCTCTGGGTTAATGCTCCTCATTGGATGTGCCTGGACTGGAATAAGTCTGCTTCAAAGACAACTTCGCAATGGAGTAACAGGTTTTGGAGTGCTTGCAACCTCAGACTCTGTTCTCAACGCAGTAATTGGAGCTACTCTCATTGGACAAACATTTTACCAAGAAGATGCAAGAATGAAGACATCCTGCAGCCAGACTATGCTCCTAGTATCTGCCACCACCTTCTTTCTGTCATTTGCAAACAGTTTTATTTCAATGCTCATAATGGCAACAGAATGTTATGCTAATGTGATGATAGATAAAAAAGAAGATAAGTCAGAGAGGAGAGTTCAGAAAACAAACAAAAAAAGATTGACAGTAGAAATAGGATTGCAATGGACATTGCCAATCCTTTTAATTGCAATTTTACACCAAGTGACCCCCACCATATACATGGCAGCTGGTTTTAGGCAAACAGTGGCAAATCATACTTGTCAAGTATCTAAGCTGCTATCAGAACAAATGAGCAGTGAATGCTTTGATGATATTATTAATGGTGAAGAGGCCCTGAGAACAAACAATCTGACAGTTGCTATTGTGAAACAAATTTATGAGCTCCTGCATGGGAGTGCTGATAAAATTGATTCCAGAGATCAATCAGCAATCTACTTAGATCCACCTCAGACAAAAGAGGAATGGAAAGGCATTTTTATGAAAACCTACAGTCAAGAAAATAATAAAAAGGACTATAATTCAACAACAAGCGACTTACTTGAGTGTGATGAATTATGTGCAGAGTCTTTTAAGAGAGGGCAAACAATTTTTTTTGTGATTATATTATTAATTTACTTTATTCCTTCAATAGGAACTGCAATACTTCATAAATTAAGTAAAAACAATGATATGAAGCCAAAAGCAAAAAATATGGTAGATCCAGAGGAAGCAAAAGATAAAACTTTGAACAGAAAAGTATGTCATTTGAAGGAAATTAAATTGATTGCTCTATCAAATTTGTTAATGTGGACTCCAAGCATAGTCAAAGGGGTTGCTCAAAGAATGTTCTGTAGCAATCCACCTCTATGGTTAGAAGCTATGCTTTATATCATAGGGCAAATGAACACAGTTCTTCGTGGATTATTTAATGCAAATGCAGCCGGTAGCAACAAACTATTGGATAAAAACATAGTAGTACCATTGGATCCCGAACTTGATTGCAGTACCAAAGACTTTGCATCTTGTTCAACAGAAAATACAGAAGCTCTGTTTGAGAAAAGAATAAAGTAGCCTTGCAGACTCCATCTTATAGAAAGTGTCAAAGAGGTATGTAAATAAGCGCCGGGCGCATCTAGTTCTACTGTAGATGGATGTGGTTGTTAGTAAGCCTAATAGTAAAATTAAATGTACTCTATAAAAACTGATTTTTATATTTAAAATGTCCATGCGTTCATTTATTATTAGAAATACAACAAAAACATGCAAAAAATAAGAATTTGTCTGTTATAAGCTGACATTAGCTATATCCACTTAAAAATCAAAACACAACAGCACAAAACCTGTGCTGCTCTGTGCACTCAGCAAAATCCACAAATCTCCAATACAAGAAGTGGTGAAAGGCTTGGAAAACAAGACATTTGACATATCATAAAGGGGTCATGAACATTGTATTGTGTTTTGCATGCATTTTCAAAGCCATCAACCACCTTTCCAGAAAATTGAGCTTAGAGCAGATTTTGACCCAGCACTTTGTTTCTTAATTGGATATAGCTGTCGAAGCTCAAGTAATTAAGTGACAAACTCACTTTTTATTCATGATTTCAACTCGGACTGTACTTGCCGCACAATCAGTCTGGAACAACAATGTCTGTTATTACAACAAGATGAGAGTACACACTTATTTTAAATGTATTTAAGTAAGAAATTTAGTGACTAATCTCTGACTACGTTCATATTTATGGGAACAGAAAAACTATGGAATCATAAAATATTGCGATTGCGCTCGCGCTCAAGTGTATTGGAATCAAAATCGGCAGATTCCCCAAAACGCATTAAAGCGAATGGAAAGTAATTTCAAAATATGTATTCCATAAATCAGTATAAATTTTCAATGAAGGGACTGAATGTCAGTCTTTGTAGAGAAAAATCTTTGACAGTGTAATACAAAATATTGTAAAAGTTCTGCATCTGCAATGCAAGGTTCAATCATAACGGGCCTAAAGAGTTTGAGAGGCCGGGTTTTACGTGCAAACAATGTCAGGAAACAAGGGGAATCCGTAAACGAGACGTTGATTTGTTCACTGAAACTGAGTACTGAGTAGGCACCGACAAGTTACAAATGCCGCGATGCGGGCGTTCCCTTTAAACTAACCGTACAGCACATATCATTGAAACGAAATCACATGACAAATAAAGAGAAATTAATTGATTCAAAACAGAGATTACCACCCCAAGCACATGGCAAATGCGCAGAATCGAAACATAAACAATCACAAAGGAAGTGAAGCGGTACCTGGGTGCGTCCGAGCCACAGGCTGGGGCAGTTTTTGACAGCCTATGCTTTCGTTCACAATAATTCCAAGTCGGTACTTTCCCAGCAAAGGCACTATTACGCCTCGCTCAAACTACTACCGAAACGAAACCCTATAAAACCAAAAGCTTCGACGATAATGTGAAAACACTATCTCAACTCACCCCAAAACAAATGCTTCGGCGCAGATCGTAGACGACTTGACGACTTTCCGAAATGTCCGACCCGACAGCTGAGATTTTATGATATGAAAAATTAAGCAGTCACAACAGGCCAAAGTGGTATTTTTTTGGTTCAAAGTTACATTTATTAAAACTGATCAAAACAGGACTGACATTGTGTAGAACAACCAAATAACAAATAACAGATCTAAAAAGTAATCACTGGCTTCGAGCTCATTTCTTGAGTTGCCCCCCCACCCCCACCCTCCTGATCAAGTGCCCTTCCTGCCGGCCCAGTCAAATCGTGTCGTGGTTTGGACAACCCAGCCCCACGCGCCCGTGCCAAAATGTGCAAAATGTCAATGCGGCTACATCCTTGGGACGACGGGCGCCCCAGGTAGAACGTCAGCGCCCACAGAGCGCCCAATGGGGGACTAGGCCGCCCATTAAAAAATATCTACTTGACATTGATTCATTCAGAGTTTACAATTTTAAGATGATCTACGGCCATGGGACCAAACTGTGATAGGACCAGACTTGATATACCAGGTGGCTGATTCACGCCGCGCACTTCTGTAGGTATACTGTACCGCATGCACGAGTGCGGGCGGGCTTGCCTATCGCCCCTGTCCACGGCGCCTTACGAGCCGAGCGAGTAGGCAACCCGCCCGCACTCGTACATGCGGTACAGCATAAATACAGAAGTGCGCGGCGTGAATCAGCCACCTGGTATAGAGATGCTCCTGCTGCATTTAATTTTGAAGTATATTTTTTTAATCCTTTCAGAAAGAGTTATGATGAAAACCGACAAAACGTTTCTCCACTAACCAACCAGCAGCACTAGGCGAGAATTGCTGCAAGCCTGAGGAACCACTGCCATAGAAGCAGGTAGGGATAGTAGTTGATACAAAAGAGGAAGGCAGAAAGATGTACATACCTACTTTCTTTATTATTCACAGCAATAATCTAACATTCTTTAACAAGGTACAAGCAATCCTGTCAGTCACAAATTTGGAAGTTAATTGAAAAGATAAGATGGGCATTCTGTATCCAACTCCAACAAAATGAACAAGAAAAATACACCTGCCATCAGTTTTATAAAAACAATCTTCATATGATTTTTAGCATTGAAAGAACCAAAGTTCCATGTTCATGTCTCTTGACTATGATGGTGCAGGTTCATGGACATTTGAAAAAGGAAACAGAAAATTAGATTAATAAACATGACTGGATTTCTAAGCATTGAAAAATAAAGGACACAATTGTTGGGTATAAAATGTTCAATTCATCACATAAAAAAATCACTTTTCAGAAAATAGTCCCGATTGTTGACCTGGTTTTCAAACAAAAAAGTGATACATCCACATACAATTAAAAAAATTTGAATGGCTACAGTCAGTAGTTTTCAGAGTAGCTTCCTTCATAAGAGCCATTAGTGCCATCTTTCTCAGGTCTGTACTTCTCTTCGTCTTCTTCCTTGATAGGCATGCCATCATAGTTATAACCATCAGTGTAATCTGGGTAGTCTAAATAAAATTCAAGAAAACAAAGAATTACATTTCTAGAAGAATTAAAATAAAGTAAATACTGAACAGAAGAATATTTACCATCAGCAGGTTCTTCTTTGATTCTGACATCTGACTCTTCAAAGTCACCCCTGCCACGTCGTTCCTTGTCCCTAGATAGATAAATTTTACAAAATTTAAAATAGGTCTTCACCCTATCAATGTTCTTGCCGTAGGGATATTTACCTGTCACGCTCACGCTCTCGCTTCTCTCGTCTTCGTTCTCTGTCTCGCTCCTTGTCTTTGTCCTTGTCCTTTTCTTTATCCTTGTCCTTGTCTCTGGACTTGCTCCGTTTCCTCTTCCTCTCACGGTCCCGGTCGCGGTCGCGTTCTCGTTCCCTATCGCGAGGAGGCCTGTCCTCAATTTCTTCAATATCTGGATCACGAGGGCGGTCCCTGCTCCTCCTTCTTTTGCGATCTCTGGACCGACTGTTGAAACAAAACATAGTTAACACATGGCAGTTCTCAAAATAATTCGGGACATACTTACTTTGGAAAAAGCTATGGTAACAAAATTTACAAAGCTACATTGACTACTTGTGACAATATTGTCAATCAATCATTGAAAAAATTACTGTCTTTAAGTTAGAAAAATTAAAATAATAGTTGTGGGTAATAACATTGACTCGAACTGGACCATGTTGACAATTTCTTAGAATAGAAATAGATTTTATACCTGCGTGAGCGTCGTCTCTTTTCCCGTTCCCTACTTCTTGATCTCCTCCCTCGAGGCCTCTCCCTCTCCACATCCCTATCACGATCACGGTCACGATCTCTTTCCCGCTCTCGGTCTCTGTCTCTGTCTCCACCTCCAACACCGCGATCCCTGTCACGACCTCCAGCCATCTCCCGCTCTCTCTCCAAGCGGTAGCGTTCTCGTTCCCTTTCATTGTCTTCACGCCCAGAGTGCTTCAGGTTCACATCTGGTCCTCCACGTCTAGTACCACCAAGGCCGCCACCTGTAGAAAACACACAAACATCATAAAACCTCCGTCGTCAAAATAAATAATAATAAATCTCAATTTTTATCCTTACCAAGCCGTCTGGGAAGCCATCCCTTGACAGTTCGGGCTCGTTCCACATCTACCAGAACACGTCGACCATCGATTTTTTTGCCATCCGCATGTTTGTACGCAGCTGGAAGAACAAAACCGAATTAGGAAAAACGCTTTTCATAATGTCAAGGAACATGCAGAGTTGGTATCTCATTTTTCCTTCCTTAGTACAGATACTGAGACATTTTCTTTGCCTAGAAATTAGGTTTTACAATAAAAATTAACTTTAAGAAGCAAAACCTTTGTGAAAAGGACCACCGACATTAACAAGAAAAAACAATGACAAAAGTACTTTGACGTGAGTTTCAAATACTGACTGAGTAGTAGCCTGAAAAGAAAATGTTACGCATTATATGCTCGTCACTCCATTTCTGCTAAAAAGATACCTGTTAGGACAAATGCCACAATTCACAAAATATAGCTGAAGAAGGAAACATAACTTCAAACAGAAAGCGAGCAGAACTCGAGGGCTCAAGCGGACTCCTAAGGTATGTTTGAATACTACTTGTACATCGAAGGGAATGGAGAAAAAATAGGGCACCTTACAAGTAGTGAAATGTTTCTGAACTTCCCAGGCAGGAGTAATGCTGCCAAATAACAGAAAAAATATATCTGTAACATGTGTTAAAGGTTTGTGAGGCTTGCCTATGAATTGTGTAGAGTAAAACCATAAATTTTGCATGAGAATGTGTCTTGAGTTTCTACTTGGATGTCTTAGAACTGAAATGGTGTAACTGTTCCCAGAATATCATTCTATCAGAGGTAGCATCACTCCAGCAAAAGAAGTCCCAGGAACAAGCCACAACCAAGAATTATTTATCTGCATTGATGCATCGTGCAGCTTTTCAAGTGGAATTACAAAAAAGACGTATTCAGCCATACCTACCAAATCACCAATTTCAGTACTTACATCATGAAGAAACTCAAAATGTAAAGATAATTTACGGGGTAGGAAAGAGCCAGTTTATCCGCCAGCGATCAAAGATCCTTTTGTGATTGTTACCTGGTGCGCATTATTACTTACGTACACCGAGCGCAATGTTCTATTTCTGAAGCTAATTTTTAAGAGTTTAAACGGATTTTTCTTAAAGCTTGACTCAAGTTTTTCAAATTTCAGTACCCCATGAATGAAAGGAAGTAACTAAATGACAACTTTCAACCAATAAACCCCAGAAAAATTAAAAAAAAAAAAATGTGTGACATGACTGAGGGTTAAGCCATCAATATACTGTACTGCTTTGTATGTTGGGTCTTACCACACATACAAACCTAGTAAGCCAGCAATGTTTCGAATTGCACACAATTGAGGAAGGGCTTTAAGGTGTCGGCTGCCCGCCATGCTGTCCAAAAACAAGATACACACCCGATTAATGAATAGAATGCTCCAAACTTGAAAGATCAGTGCACCCCTTCCCCACCATCCCTCAAAATTAAAATTAAAAAAAGGAAACAAAAAATCTGCATTTAAGGAAGTTGTTCTGGTTATTACATTGTGTATGCTAAAATTTTACATTAAAACATTGAATAACTCAGAATTGTACTGAAGTAAGAGCTCAAAAATGATTGCCAACAAGGAAAGCAATAATGAAGCAAGCACACACACCAGATTTTAATGAAGGTAACTAAAAATTATAGTTTTAGATGTTTCTGGTATTGTGAGGAAAACAACCATGGAGTCATATATTCCTTCCTACAAGTCTAGAACACACATTCCCACCACCAAACACGGAGAGTGATAAAGAAACCCTAATTTTGAAGTTACTTGGCAAACAAGCCTCCCACCTTTGGCCCTTCCGTTCCTAGACATGAAATAAAAAAACATTTTCATCTTCACACTATGTAAAAACCAACCATCTTCCATAAATGTACTCAATAACAGTAACCTCCAACTGGTTAATTGAAGAGTGTATTGAAAGTAACTAAAATAAACTGTGTAATATTGTGGCTTTGGCAAATAGATCGATTTGCTCTGTCTACATAGTGAATGAACACAATATAATTAATGAATAGATTTATACGAAACAGCTGGAAGTTTTCTATCAGGTGCACAATCAGTACCATTACACTAATGTAATGATGTGAGGACTCAAACCAAAGAAAAATTACAGACTGCGTTAATGATTATTGAAAGGGGAATAGAAACCAAAGATACTTCCAGAAAGTACCACTAAAACAGAGGGAAAAAACTTCAATCCGAATGTTTTCAGGTGGTATCTACCCTTAGCATGTTGTTGAAACAAAGAATCAATTTCATGCAATGTGTGTACTGATAGAGTAAATGATAAGATGAAATATGTGAACTGAGCTTGAGTCTGCTGATACCCTAATGGATGACAAAAGTACAGCCACACTTCTTGTGTTGTGTGTGAAATGAATGTTATAATAGTATGGTAATTACATAACATTTAACATAGATGGCAGCAATTAATGGCTTTTGAGAGAGTGTCAACACATTGGTTTGAATCAAGTATAAAACCATAGAATATGTAGATGATTTTTGACATGTAGGTGGAGTCAAAAAAGACTGCCACATTATCAAATTCTAAGAAATAGACAAAAACTGATAGCAGGATCAAAACCACAATCAGCTTAGTAGGGCTGACAACTAGAATGAAGATGCTTATCATATGACACTCTCACAAAACTGAACATATCATCAAAATAAAAGAGTACTCACAATGCATGTCCCTTTCATGTTCATATTCGATGAAGGCATATCCCCTGGGTTTGCCGTTTTGGGTATTGTGACATAAGACAATCTGTAAAGTAAATAGATTGGATTAGATTAAAACAGTTTCACTTGAAGTACAATAATAACAGATAGATAAATTAGAAAAAAATTACCTTTTTAATTGCTCCATAAACTTCAAACTCTCTCCGAAGTTTAGATTCTGAAGTATCATAGTTCTACAACAAATACAGTATCAATATAGTTCATGATGCTTTCAAGAGCAAAGTGACAAACTACAGGTCATTAAGTATTACTTACAATACGGGCAACAAAAAGAGTCCTGAAGGGGTCAGTTGTAGCATTGGTGAAATTGTGAGGATCCCCTAAATAGGATTGAAACAAATTAATGAATCTTCAAATGATCGGAAAACATAATTTGATACACAAATAAATAGATGTACATACAAACTGCTATCTCTTGCTCAAGTTTGTAGGCAACTTGTTCTGCTCTTTCCCTTCTCCTCCTCTCAAGGCGCTCATCCCTTGTCTCCACCCGAGTAGGGGGTGGTGTGTCAGCAGGATCCTGGAAAGGAACAAATGATTACATCTGACGTAGGGCTTAAATTTGACTGGAAATAAAGAAATGAAGGCTATTCAACCTGTTTATTGAGAACCCGGTATAATTACCAATAGGTTAGTAGATTTACAAACTAACAAAGGGAAAATTCGTAATTCAGATCAATACTAACAGTAAAGAGGGATTCTAGTGATAAAATTGAAGGTTGGGTTGGAGCTCTTAAAATTAGCATCAACAACGAACCAACAACTCAAGAGCTGCGAACAGGGACGCGGCATAAGAGGCCCGTCCAAAAGATGAATCGGCCTTGGTATTTAATGCAGATCAGGGGGCCGCAGTGTGAGGCGATTTCTAGCTTAGGTCAACGTACCTCGAAGTTTTGTAAGAATCCACCGACACCCTGGTATCCACGATTCTTCTTCTCATGAGGAAGTTTGTCCGGCGGCGGTAGGAACGGTACAGGGTCACGCGGAGCAAACAAAGCCAACAAATTTTGAGGCAAAAATTGCGTCATTGTTGAAAGTGAACTCAGCAACTGAGTTCAGCGAATTTGGGCGAGGAATGGGCGTACCCTAACACATTAAAGAAGCCCAAAACTATCAGAAAACGACATTTCAAAAGCTGAACAACTCTCTGTTTACAAGTCTTGCGTCGCCATTTTCTTCAGGACAGGAAGTGAGTGTTCCAGCCAGCCGAGCTTTTTTTCAGAGACACTAGCGTCCTACAAGCTTGCCAACGTCTGTTACAGAAATGAAAGCAGCATGAAGGGACGCACATAGTTTGGGGTGAATAAATTAAGAGACTGGTTAGTATCCAGATGTTTTCAAAAAAACATTTATTGAATTTTCCGTACTTTCAAGCACTTCCTGATCAAGGAGAAATAATCAAAGTACGCGTTATTTCTTGTTATGTTGCAAGTACTTACTGCTAATTTGCATATAAGTCATATCCGGTTTGCCCGTCATGAATTTCTTCTTCTTTTCTATTTTGTTTTCTCGTAATCTCAAGAAGGCAGTTGCGTGTTTTCAGTTTTCGTAGGTTTCGTATTTTCGTGGTCTGCGTTTGCACAAGTTCGTAAAGTTACAAGAAATCATTTTTTCAATATATTGAGATCTCTTTATATTCGTGATGGCTGACGACGACTTCGATGTTGATGAGTTAGTTTCTATTTCATTTCGTCTTTCTAATAAATTACTAATTTATAAAGTGAATGAATGAAGAAATTCTTGTTATGGTTTAAGGTTATGCAGTACTGTAAATCCAGCAATAAGCAAACACTTCTTTCAAAGAAAAGGAGCTTTCTTATTATATTTCTCTTCCATCTTCTACAATTCGTCACTTTCAACTTTATGACATATTTATTTGTTCCAGTGCTGGAATTGGAGAAGATTTTGATGACGTAGAGGATGACGAAAACATTGAAGAACTTGATCAACAAGAGGTACCTTTTTTATTTTGAGTTAATTCAGTATTTACCAGGTTATTACCAGTTTATTATAAAATGGATGTAGTCTGCAAATCTTTGGACAAGTTTGTTTCTGCTGGATACATTTAAATTGTTCATCCTTAGTCATGTATCAAGCATTTATCTCTCTGTTTAGGAGGAGACAGAAAATGTGGATATCCTAGCTGCAGGAGCTGCAGGTGGTGGTGTGGTCAAATCCAAGCGAATCACAACTCGTTACATGACTAAGTAAGAGTAACTGCCTTAGTACTATTGTCCATGTATATTGGACAACTGTTGCGTACCTTACTTCACAATATAAAACTATTTCTTGCAATAATGTGAATTTTGTAGTCTCTATCAGGTTTTTTATTTTATTTTTATATGACTTGTTGCAGATATGAAAGAGCGAGAGTTTTAGGTACAAGAGCACTTCAGATAGCCATGTGTGCACCAGTCATGGTTGAACTAGAAGGTGAAACAGATCCTCTTCAAATAGCTATGAAAGAACTTAAGCAGCGCAAAATTCCAATTGTTATTCGTAGATACCTGCCTGATCAGAGTTATGAAGATTGGGGAATTGATGAACTTATAATCATTGACCATTAATTTATGTATTTTCAAAATCTTGTATAATATCCTACTATAAGTCAAACATTAAATAATTAGAAACTAAATCTTACTCAGCCATCATGCAATTACTACAGAACATTTAAACTTAAGAATTTACCTTATTTTATTATTAGGCCAGCACATTAAAATGAGGCTTAATAATCATTAGCTGCAAAGTTGTCTTTATCACATTGCCTTGTCAACGCAAAGTTAATTAAATCTGGATGATAAAGAAATGGTAATCGACATTGAAAAGGTTGCAACAAAAACTTCTCTTTTGTCTTTAAGAAGTATCCTCCAGGGATAAAAAAATGTTTACACAGCACAGCCAAACAGTTCCTCTTGTTCAGCCAAAACTCTCTAATTCATAAAATACAAAGTGATAATGTTCGATACTATATATGAATAAGATGTCAAGAACTTGGAGAGAATCAATTGGAAGGCAAACCCCATGATCACAACAAAATACTGAGTCATGTCTTTGTCAGTTCAGAAGAGATGCCATACAACACGCAACAAAACCATTATACTGTAAACAATAATTCTGAAGTATGGCACTTGACTTAAGAAAGTTATATTTAAATTACATAGTCAATGCATTCTAACACATCTTCCAAATTTACAGTCACAAACTTCACGTAATGCTTTTTGGACATGTGCAAGATTTGATTGATTACCACATCCTTACAACCAAAAATATGTCTTCAAAAGTAACACTGATGACACTTCATTAACTGTCAATTTGTCAAGACCAAAGTTTAACCAGTTCCAATCTTAAAATAAACATGATTTTCTAATTGTAATGCTGTCTCTTGACTTTGGTAGAATACCTAACACATGCTATTTTTCTCAATTACTACATGTATATCAGAAAAATGCATTAGATTAGGTAAATATAGAATAAACCAGGAACATTTTCATAGAATACCAAAATAAAATAAAAAATATGACTACACCATTCTAATGGTACAAATTTATAAGACCAAATAAATAACACAAATTCTCCCTGCACAGCTAGGAAGAATAAATAATCACAATAGTTAAAGATATACCACTCTAACCCAATGGAAACTTTGATTAAGAACTTGAATTGATGAATGATTCTTATACTCCAACTTAAAAAATGTAGGATCAAAAAGGGGACAGTAACATAAGAAATCCAGGTGAGTGTATTATGAGTTGAGACATCAGTTAAAATCATCAGATTCACAAAGATTGTACAGTGCTCCTTGAAAGCGGCTCATTTTAGGTGACGATGATTCAACATTGAGCATGACCACATGGAGGTCACGCTACACTCAATGTAATTATCCCAGGGAAGCAGTAAGCCAGAGCAGCAATAACTTGAGTACTCAGCAAGCGTGCTGATCATCACAGATCACAATCTGCTATTAGTTATTTTACATATCTAGCAGATTCATTTTCTCTGATGAAGACATCTTGAAACAAATGTCTTCAAAAGAGAGCACCAAGTCAATGAAGACTTGGGGTAATCAATACCAATTAAGCTACACAATGTCATAGACACATATCATTATGAACAAGAACACAAAGCCAGCCTTTCTACAAATCTATTAATATTTAGGATAATAATGAATATTTAAAAAAATTAGTTGGCTTGGCTTATATCTTAACACTAAGTACAACTGAACTGTAATTACAAAAGGAAGACAGCAAAATTTCACTAAATTTACTATAGGTTATTGCAGGGACAAACAATCCACCTATGATGAAATAAATAGATGAGGACAACCTGTCTAGCTTTAAACAAAACTTAGATAGATACAAATTAACTGTATCCTATCAACTGATTTACAGGTGACTTCTAAACTTCACAAAATCTACAAAATTTGTAAAGAAAAAGAGAACTAAAGAGATATGCCAACAAATATTCATCAAAAGATAAAATCAATGTGAATTATTTTCCATTTCATGTCCCATAACACAAAATGAAAGTAAGAAAAACAATCAGAACAGGGTTGAAATTATGTATGAGACCATTATGTTCTACCTCAAGAGTGAGGCATGAGTCACAATAGAGGCAACAATAACATAAATTTTTAGAGACATAAATTAACAGAGTTTCGGTCACATCATACACAGCACATCTAAATCATGTTCCCATCAAATTAAAAGTACCAATGTAAGCAACATCAGCAGCACATACTGATATAGCTGTGTGTTGATCATGTTATTGACTGCTGCTTGGCTGAGGACTTCCCTCCTCCTTCCTTTCTGCTGATGCACCTTCGACTTCTTCCTCCTCTTCATCATCTTCCCCAGCTTCAATCAGTTTTCTAGCCAGTTTTATAGCATGGTATTCATTATAATGAGCTTTCCTTTTGCTCTCAAACATTTTCCTTTTTGCTGAAAATTGATGTATCAAAAAAATTATTAACAAGCTAAGACTAAAGGTGGCGCTCCAATGAAACCTGGAACCCATCACCCATCGCTTCAGAGTTTGTTGTTACTGATGCAGTCTGAGTTTGCTAAATGCAAGTTGAAATTTTAGCAATGCAATAAACAAACTTTCACAAATTTTGCAGGCATTTAGGTGGCTCTATGAGACACCTATCAGTACCCATTATTTGTGAGAAGGCCCATATAGTCACTCAAACATGTCCATATTTTGTAAAAATGCAATTATTGCATTTGTATACTTCCAAAGTATATTTAGAAAAACTCCAGTTGCATCAAAAACAGCAAAATCTGAAATGGTGGGTGATGGGTTCCAGGTTTCATTGGAGGGCCACCTTAAGCCATTATAGTGGATTTTCCTTCCAAATACAATTTATACCTCTCTCTTCAGGAGTTTCTGATTCATCTTCTTCAGACTCGCTCTCAGACTCAAGCACTTTCAGAGACTTGTCAGCACTCTTCCTTATCCTGTAAACAAGGTTAAAATCAAGATAGGTTAGACGTTTTGGACAGGAACAGGGAGAAAAAGTATAAGAAAATAAAGACAGAGGGGTCAGACTTTTATACTATCTTTTGAAACATAGGCCTACTGGTCTGCAATGGAAGGAAGAATTGAAGAGTTATGAACAGAGGTTCCTGTTTCCATACTTACTTTTCTGCAAGTTCACCAGCATCTAATTCATCTGGTGGTTCACCTTCCCCTTCTTCCCAATTGTAGGGTGTTTTAGGTTCTTCGATTTTCATGTGGCCATAGTCTTTATCTGATGGATGTAACGTTGCAATAATATTCATTTCATCCCACTGCGTCTGCTTGCCTTTCTGCTTTCTGAAAGAAAGAGCAATCTAGTTAAAAATATGAGATGATAAAATAGTGTGGGTGAGCTGGATGAATGGGCGAAACAGTCTGGCACATGGCTAATTTGGTTCAGGAGCACTTAGTACCTGCTGGAAGTGCCAGCTGCAGAGGAAGCTTTGTTTGAAGATCTCATGCAACATAACAAGGTGAGATACAGTAATAATGCTTTCCAAAAAAGTAATAGATATTCTTTTTTTTAAAGCAGCATGATAGTAATTAATGTAATAGGTTAGTGCAGTTATTAGTATTTAAATTAAATAATATCATAGGTCATAAAATTAGTTTTCTCCAAATATAAGCTAGATTTAAAACTAGTTTTTTTTTGTACAGAAAAAAAAATACTGGTTCAGTAACAGGAGATAAAAAGGCACTCATAAGGTGGGAAAATGTATAAACATAGAACGTAACTAAATCTAACTTAAATTATTTTCTGCATTTACCAGCTAGGGTTGGCAGATTTGTGCTCTGCTTGTGCTCCACCATAACCTCTAACAATGCTAAACCAACCAAACGTAAATACTAAAGAATACTCAAATCGGATGTCATTGGATTAAGTATTCTACAGTAATTAAACGAAATCTCATGGTTTACACCCATGACAACGTTATTTATTGCAAACACACTCTTAAGATAGAAAATAAGAGGAAAACAAGCCAAGCCTCGCACGCAACACACACCACAACAACGCACGAAATGAACGAAATGCCAACAACAGGTCAGTAAAATCAAAAACGTAAAAAAAATTTGAAAAATACTTACTTCTGAGGACCCTCTTGTTTATCAAAACTAGAGGAATTCTTTAAAATTCCTTTGGATGGTCTCTTCTGAAGATTGTCCGCCATGTTTGCAAAATCCAAAACCTCTCAGGCGAGCAGAGAAGGCAACGTATGTTAGTTAAAGAGAGGTCGACGTCACCCTGAAAAGTTCCCTTCAAACGACAAAATGGAAAAAAAAAATTCGTTTAACGATAGAATTAGGGCAGAACAGGGTCACGGGCACAAAAATTATGCACACCAGGCTATAATAATCGATAGGGTGGAATTGTCATTTTTGATGGCAAGTTTGGCTAGGGTGTAAATTGTTATGAGAATTTCAAATGATAGATTTGTCAATTTATTTTTATTCTTGCTTGCTAAGCGTCTGCTACGAACGACCTTCGACCTACATCAACAATACTCTTCGTGTATGTATCTTTTCCCATAAATGAGGATGAATCTGATTCAATACACATTAATAAAACCTTTCAAATAAAAGCCCTTGGGAACTTACTCGAGATTCGCAAGATACGCAAAACCAAGACACTGGACTGGAATGCTTTGCAAGGGAAGGACTCTGAAAGGGGAAGGGGAGGGGTCCTGCTCTGGATGGTAGTGCAAATTGCCTACCCACCAAGTACACCAAGCACACATAAGGGAAGGGAACCATACCCCTTGCTTTCTCCATTTGTGACCTGTTTGTCATAACTTACAATTTTTCTGGTAGGAAATTCAATATTTTGCATACAGTACATAGACCCAGGCCAACATAAGACATTATAGTCCTGATTACAACATAAAGTCTCCACTCATTCAAGGATTTCATTGTATCGTAACGCCCAACAATTTTTGAAAGTATTTTAAAGAGAGATGTGCAAAAATTGTAATAAAAGTACTGGGCTAAGGATTGACCCAACGTGTATGTGGTTTCAAATCTTTACTCATCTGTGAGTGTTATATCTTCATGGACTTAAAACGGATTTAGCTCCGGCAGCGACAACTTCGTCCCAGTAGCTCTTGGCTCTGACAACTAATAATAAGCATAGAGTTTCATTAAGCTATTAGTAACCACTACAAATTTCGGTGGGCTGTCGTCAAATAACTATTAGTTTGAAAGACTAATTAAAATTTTTGTTTGGTAGGGTTCTCCGGGATGGGGTGAAAGGGGGGGGGGGCATCCTCTCATTCGGGCTGTATAGTCCGATCAGCAATCGGGCACGAGTCAGTTCGTGGACGGGTCGGCGGAACAAAAGCAGGGTCCCGAAGTGGAGACCCTTTAGCGAGATGTCCTCTAGTCGGCCCCCCTGTACTAACTCGGCAAAAAGGAATGCAAGGCCACACAGACGCACATGCGAAGCGAGCACGCACACACACAAGAAGTGGGCTGATTAGAAAGCTAACGGGCCCCTGACGACTACTGAGGACCTGTGCGTTTAAAGTTAACTAAGCAGGATACCAGGAATGAACAGCGGCAGCCGCCTTCCTCCCCGTGTATTTAAGCTTCCACCACTTCAGAATAAATAATAACACGGTACACTTTGACTTGGATTATGAAGTTCATCAACTGTTTTTTTTTTATTATTTGAAATATTAAAAGGTTAAAATCACAACAGAATTATCCAGATAAACACACACATCGCCTGTCAAATTTATGAATGCTTGATTACCTTTATTATTGCTCCTATGGCTCTGGCAGAAATCATTGCAACAAAAATGAGAACATGCATAAGCTTTTACTGATATTGCGTCAATTTGTCCTTCACACTGTTACGAAATTTTGGAGAGCTTGCTACACTAAGTAGTTTGCTTAAAGTTTAAGTGAAATTTCGATTCAGAGGGATGAATGTATACATAAGTTGAACTGAACAGGAGATTAAAAGCTTTAGTAATACCTGGGAGTATTACATATTATCACTATTGAAGGCACATCATATTAACTGATGGACAGTTCAAGACATTGAATGGTACAGTATGTCAAAATGTTCTGTACTAGTAACTTCATTAACAACAAATTGATTAAAACATTAACAATGGTGAATCACAAAGTGGAAATACAAAGAAATTGGCATTTTAGAGCAGGTAACAAGTAGTCAAATTTTTTTATCTAAAAGATGTAGTATGTAACTGATCCTCTCTACACACCATTTATCTTGAAGTCTTTAAGAGGAAGAAAGTTTAACAGAAAAGTTTTACAGAATTTGAAGAAGAATACAGTATTACAGTATAATATATCCATATACAAACTATTATCATTGATATTGACTAGCATTTTTTCCTTAAACGCTTACTAACTTAAGCAGCAATCATCATTTCACAATGTTTAATGATCTGCACAGTAAAACAATGGAATAATGGAGACATGCTGTGAGGGCATCAATTGACTGATGTACACTCAAACAATCCAACACCATTTTATCACATACCATTATTTACCACAGCAAACAAATATAATAAAAAAAGAGAAAGAAACATATAAACGATTGAATATAATAATGTTATGTACAATTTACAGTTTAATAAGATGAAAACATGTCTTGAAGAGATTGGAATATACCTCCAAAAGACCTGCTGTACAACAGATTAAATGAAAGTAAATGAAAGACAAATATGCATAAATCCCAAGGATTTAAAACTATCCATAGAATTTCAAGCGGCAGTAATTTTAAAGAATTACTGTTGTTTAAGTTAAATTTGATATAAAAAGGCAATCTTTAAATGTACCAGGATTTCTTTGCTTATAAAAAATGTACTACAAAGTAGACAAATGAAACAGTGGTGCACTTTTAAAATACCTGTTCAGTCCATGCTATTTATAGGCTGAGCTGTACAAGAGCTAAAAGCACAAGCCTATGTAAGTTTTGTCTACCTTGCAGACGTCGGAGTGGATACACTACACCAACATAAATGACAGGCTTCATGAAGAACAACACAATACATGGTTAATTACCGGGGTTACCGGTAAACTGCCAATTTTGACCGGGATCAGTACCGGCCTATCCATTCAACAATCTTAGTTAGCTAATAATCTGCTTTAGGACACTCTATCCACCTGGACCATGTGAAATGAATGAATTAGTTGATGTGATTGTGTTACCCACAAGGCAAGATTCAGTAACTGCGAAATTTCACAGCATGCTTTTAAACACTTACCATTTCAATCATTCCCGATTGATTTTCCATAGAAGAGTGCTTTTCTTCTTTTTCAACCATTCTCAGAATAGCTTCACAAATAGCTCGTACAGTCTCATCAGAAGTTGGACAGTCATGAATCTCCTCAAGAATAGCATTTCCACCCTCCTTAACCAACATTAAACAGTACCGTTTTGCTGCAAGAAAATTAAAAACTTGTTATGCTGTATGCAAAGAAATATTGAAGACATTCTACTAGTACATCTCTTAAAATAAAATAAAAGGCGCTATCTCAAATTGGGCAAGACAAAAAATCAGGATTACAAACAAAACTACTTGAAATTATTCTAAGAAAGTAGGTGGAGTTATCAAAGAACTAGAACAGAATCAAACATGTGATGGATAACTTTACCGTTTTTGGAGCAAACATGATGAATTGCCCATGCAGCCCATAGCTGCACCTGAGGGGCATTGTAGCATTTTAATAGAGGGAAGAAAGGGATGAATGATCGGTATGCCACCATCTCACTACTGGGAGTAACCCATTTCAGTACTACATGACCCTGTAACATAAAAAAAAATAAAAAAAATAGGTTGCTGCATTTGACAGAAATATTATGCAAACCTCAAGACATTGATTGATAAGGCCTTACCAAATCCTGCAGCATTTCATCCCGCTTGATAGTTTCTACAGTCCATACATTTGCGCCATCACTACTAAGGTGAGCAATAATACCAGCACTGAAGTAGCTAACATCAATGTGTCTTGAGTGTAGTAATTTCCTGGAGAATGAAAGGTTGTAGAAATACAGGATTGTAAATACATTGCTCAAGGAAAAGAAAATTAACATCCTTGTTGAAGAACACACAAATTATTATCAATTACCGTAAGGCCTCAATAAAGTTGGGGCACATGAGATTTGACCTCAACCCAGGAACTTCAGCAATATTATTAAGAAGTCCTAACACTTTCGTCTCTATAGAGGTCTCAAACTCATAAACTTGAAGCATAGACAAAAATAATTCAAGTCCATTTTCTTCTAAAAACATATGGCATGTGGCTGGTGATTCATCTGAAAATGTTTAATCATGATTAGAGAAATATTTTTCAAATTACTGCGTATTGTGATGACTGTTAATTATTGAAAAATCATACCAGTTAGATTCCAAAGGGCACTCAGGGTAAATTTCATGGTGATGTCAATTGTTTTCGTAGCCATACGAGCTTCTACCATAGTAAGTAGTTTACGCATATATTTAGGTTGCGCACCCAAAAGAGAGGAATCCCTCGTTGATATTTTAGCAGCTGAAAGGACCAAGTGTTAATAAATTATCAGAAACACGAATAAGAGAAAGATAATAATAGGACTGCATTAACAATACCAGATCATATAATATGTGAATAATTTTTCAGAATGATTTGTACAGGAATTGAAAATATTGAGGCTATTACCTAACACACTGCAAATTGCCACACTCATTCGATTGACAGCAGCTTCATTAAAAGCACATAAGCTGTCAAGAACAAGTCTTGCACAACGATATTTATCAAAAGATATATCGTGGAGAATTCGGTCACTGCATAAAGTGAGTAAAGTATTTTTCTGAAGCTGAAATAGGATGCAAGAAATATATAGATAAAATACATGTATAGTTTACAACAACCATGCTGGTCAATCTGAAAACTAACTTGAAAGTGACTTGGAAATGTTTCCATTGCATCCAAGGATAGTTCAACCACATCTCTTAGTATAGAGGGATGAACTTTGTTGGCCAATTCCCCTTTTGTTAAATTGTAAAGGCAAGCAGTGGCAGCCATCTGTATGCCATATTGTGTCTGGTGAAGTCTCATGCCACGAACTACAAGCTATGAAAAAGAGAAAGGAGGAAAGAAACTCAATAGTAGTGATATACACAAGAAAAAAAATTGCACACTTTATCCTGTAAACTTATATTTTTTACCAACCTTAATGAGATCTGATCTAGTTTCTCGGTACAAATTAGTGATACGGAAAAGGTTTAGAAGACACTTTTGCAAGAAAATTGGGCGATGGGGGTATCTCTCAAGGCCTTCCATAACTTGCTTCTCAGAAGCCAATCCAGTAACCTATAACAAATCAAGTTGTATGACTGGATTTTTTACATTTCAACTCATGATCCTATTAAAACTCAAAAAACTTACAACAAGGTCATGTCTATAATTTGGATCATCTGGGTTGACATACATCTGATCATAACAGGCATTAAGGTACATCAATCCTAAGAATGTCATGCTAGGATGTGCTAGCACAAACTTTCTCAGCAGCTCCTCATCAACCCTTTCAGCACCTGCAATAAAAAATTAACAAACCATTAATAGGAAAGCAAATTCATAGATAAAATGTGATGAAAGCCACAGCAAAATGTCTTATTACCAGAGATGTCTAGGTATTTAAGATGAGGAAGACACTCTGGTTTGAATAAATCTGAAATACTTGAAGAATTAGGTTCCAACAGATCAAATGGATGGCGGTCCTGTTCATCTGAGATATCCAAATGCTGTAACTGGTGCAGCTCTAACAGTATCCGAACCACATTCTCCTGATGTGACACCTAAATCATATTTCAATATTATTTTTCACATTTATAAATGATCATTGTGGACATGATGATAAGCATGAGGACTGGTAAAATACCTTTAGGTTGTACATATACAATGATTTCAGTCTGTCACGGCATTTCCTTAGAGATGAAATATCTGAAACTTGTGTTCCCGATATGTTGAGAACTTCAAGATGAGGTAAATCTTCTATAACTATTTCCAGTCCATGACTGTTAAATTCAGTACAAGCTACATTTAATGATTGAAGGTTCTGTAATTTTGACAGACCCACAACCACACAATACCTGAAATAAAACACTGTCAGGGCCAAATTCATTTTGATACAAAGACAAAGGCTGCTTGACACTTACTTTGATCCAGCCATGAAAGTGGACCTTGCAACATTTAAAGATCGCAGATTTTGTAGAGTCCACTCTCCCAGACATCCAATTAAATCGTTCACAGATACTGTTAAACCAATAGCCTCTAAGCTTCTAATTTTGTGTCCTTTTAACATGCGTAACCCTTTAGTAGTTAATTTTCCTGCTTTTCTCATTCGAACATTTCTGAAAAAATATATGACACAGTGAGAAAAGTAAGATGCAAGAAAACACAAAAAACCTTTTCTTTACAACTGCGTTTAAGTAAATTCACCTCAATGTTGCAATGTTTGAGTCAAAAAGCGTCATAGTAAGATCTTTCAGCTTTCCTTTCTCACTGAGTTGTTCAAGAAGTCTATCTGAAATTCCAGAGGGTAAAATTGATTCATCTCTTAATGTCAACTTTTCCTCTTTGTGACACTCTGGTTTGTCACTGCCGTCAACTGGAGGTGATAAGGTCATTAAAGGTGTCACCTGATAATAAGAAAGCACAAAATGACATTCAAATGCAAGCTAATAATGTGGATAGAAGATAACTAGATGATCAAAGGACTAACCTCACACAAGGCCTCCAAGTTTTCGCAAATAAAGTCGACACATGCTTCCTCCAAAGAAATCGGTGAATCGTACATTGTGGCAGTTTGAAGTTAATTTAGCCAGCAATACGATTTTTTCTGGAAAGATATTCAATATGATAAATAGCTCATAAATAATGAAAACAATTAGAACATCTATATGAAAACAAACTTCAGGGACACCTTTCACAATAGATATATCTTTTCTGTTTTAGTCTGTTTTTTCTTTTTTTAAGAGCAAAAAGGTAAACTATGAAAAAGAGTATGCCAAGAAGAAGAATTTGAGGTTGACCAACAGGTCAAACCAAACCTTGTTGTAGTTGGGTTGTATTTTTTGCGAGCAGACTTCAATTACTCATCCATTCAGTTGCTTCATCTTCATTGTAAAATTTTTTAGCCCATGACAAACAATGAATAAGGGCAGCAAGAAACGGAGCCAAATCCAAGAGAAGTCAAGCGTGCCATGAAGGTACAGGTATCAGAGAGGTGTGTCATTATGTAATTTGGGACGAAACATTACCTCATAACAGGTTCTGTGAGCTGCAAGGACCTTTCATACTCCACGAGTGGAGGTTAGAGTCGATAACATGTCGAAAGCAGACGCACCATCGCAAGAACTCGCACAAAACTAAGGATAAGAATAAGCAGAGAAACAAATTGCATGTAAAATAACTATTTAGTTGAAATATTTCGAAAGCATTTCAAGAAAATATTGGAACAGAGCAGCATCTTAACCCTACAGTAAACAACTGCAAGGCGATCATTACTGTAATCGCAACAAACTCCGCCACTGCCCTCATAATTTGTTACATTACTATGAGTTTGTAGTCAAACGTAATTCAAACTCATAGAGCCTCTTAAGATGGTAAAATAACTATCAAAATACAGTAAAACTTACGTTCGCGCTACTTCAACAACACTGACATTTGCAATTTTAGCAAGCCCCGCCTTTGCGAAATAACACCAACCCTCTTCCTCCAAAGGCGGGAGGCCAAGAACATGTTTGAATATGTTTTTACGCTCGACACTCGGCTATCTCCCTAGTAACAGTAACGCCCATGCACGTTAATGTACATTAAATGCGACAAATGAGCATTAAAATGCGCAAAAATGATAACGCATTTTTCACGCGTTATTCACTCAAAGTGAAGTGAAGACCAAGTGAAGCTAACTGAAGACTGCATTGTAGGAGCACCACATTTTTCAAGCAGCAGGCAGCTGCACCTTCGACAGGGTTTTTCAAGTATATACCAGGTGGCTGATAAAGTAGGTTCCATCTCACTCCCCGTGCACGGTGGTCTCTTCGGCCGCTCCGAGTTCCCAACTTCAAATACGACCCGGGCCTGGAAAACGTCTGGTGGCGCCCAGATTTTACAAAGCGTCATTACGAGGTCACTACGATTTTTATTAGAATGCAACCTCTGAAATCACAGACTTCGACCTTCATTTTGATACGGGCTACTAATTAGCCACATAGTTCGCCCGAGCCCTCAAAAGGTCCGGTTGGGGGAACGAGTGCATTAAATGCTCGCGCAAATGCACTCTCCTGCTCCGGCGTGCATGTGGTGTGTAAAGTTAAGCAGCTCATGTGAGCTCACGAGATCGTTCGGAAACTCGGCAACATACAAATTTTCAGGAAGGGGGAAGCTCAGGGATCATTCTAGTTTTGTTATTCTATTCGATTCCCGAGATTCCCGGGACGCAGGGCGGGAAAAAGTGCCGGAAACTCCGCGCCCTGCAGCGGGGTATTTCCAGCCCTGCGCCCCGGAATCACCCAATCAAACGGAGTATCGAAAAAGTAATGATCCCTAGGCTTCCCCCTTCCTTAAAATTTGTACCGGGTGTCCCGGCTCTTACATGCCAGTACGTTGGGTTGCCTATGCACTGGCAGCAGGGGCTGCAGGCGCGGGGCGGGTGCGGGTGGCGGAGGAGTGAAGGGAGCTGCCACTCCTCCGCCACCCGCCCCGCGCCTGCAGCCCCTGCCGCCAGTGCATAGGCAACCCAACGTACTGGCATGTAAGAGCCGGGACACCCGGTATGTTGCCGTGTTTAAGAACGATCTAGCGACCTCACGCGTGAACTCACTCGCGCGTGAGCTCACGTGAGCTTAACTTTACACGCCGTTCCATACCCAGTGAGAACTCAAAGTCAGAACGGGGTCAAAATGGGGTCTTTGCAGGTTACTTTGACGTCTAAGTCCCTACCACGGGCGGGCGGACTAGACTTTGACTTTTAAGGCCGAAAAGCCACCAGTTTGACGTCAATTTAACATTATTTTGACTAGGGCGTTCTCCTTGGGTTATGTATCTAACGGCCCCATCCGCACGCATGAATCCGTATAAGCAGGAAAAAAGCACGGCGCGGATCACCCACGCCTGTACATGCCCAGTCGGAAAATAGACGTCAAAAAGACGTCTATTTGCCATCTAAAAGTAGATACCTAGATGTCTATTATAGACGTCTTAAAGACGTCAATTATGGCCACTTGGTAGATGTCGATAGGACCTTTTACCTAGATCAAATTTTTTAGCGACAAATGTATGCGTATCTCGGTGAATGCATTTAGGATGCAGTCAATGAAACTACTTCGCTGTGGAACGTTAGGTGGCACTAAAAAGCTCAAAAGTTACAGAATTTTCCGATGCGGACTATCGTGAATCGTTTTCAACAAATGAATAGTTGGAGCTCGAACTCCAACGATGTGCCACGACAAGCCCATACCGGCTCGCTCAAGCACTTTGCAAAAATTTTGACTTCTCTGTCAGAGTAGGTCAATCATTTACCTCACGCACGGACGGCAACGGCGCCCAGGTGTAATCAAACCGCGGTTTCTGATCAGCAGCGAGAATGAAATTGAATTACGATTATTCACGACACAGAATGTTGTCAGTTAAAAACCAAGTGTGCGTAGCATCAGGGAGGTCATCCCCAAGGGGGCCACAGTTAAAATCGTGACCAAAACTGTTCTTTGCGTGATTTTACGTTAGAAAAGACTGTAAAATGTTATTTTTATACTTGGAGAGCCATCTAGCGGCAGAAATCAAAACTATCTCAATCGATGGGTCGTTATTTTCATTACTGTGGCTTAAAAATAAATCAGGCTAGAGCATTACGACCGCCGACCAAATTTCGAACTCATTGAGATATTTATTGAAAGAGTGACTTTTCTTACGACAACGTCTACGGATATTTACCAATATTAGACGTTGTAGATATCTAACGTGATCTACTTATAGATATCTATTTCAATAGACATTTGCAGAGATTATAGAGGTTCAAGAATGACCTTTATTCGCCGAAAAAAACACCATAGACGTTCTTAGATATTTTTTAGACACGTCTACGAGCGTCTATTGACGTCTATTTTCCGACTGGGTGGTCGACACTGTTTTACAGTGTAGGGGTTGTACTTCCCTTAGTTCAAACGACCAAGAACCACGTACTTTCCTAATTGGTAGATAAAGAAGTGTAGGGAATAATACAACAATTAGTAACAGCCGTTTAATGATTTGTCATAGCATTTTACATTTTAATAGCATACAACCATATGGCTACCAACACAAGTATTCCAGTGTATATTCTTCGTTGGATTTTTTAAAAAACAAAATGACAACATCAAAAGAAACATAGTACCAGCCCCGAAAATTATAATCTTGAGTATGATTTACAAGCTATACAAAATAGAATCAAACCCTTCACACTGGACGTCTTACATAAATGGTTGCAGAAACTTCACGTTTTTGTTAGCTTGCACAGCTTACAATATTCGTGAAAGAACACCACTAATTGATGAACTGGGTATGTGATCGTTCAAAATTTAACCTTATTGAGCATCGTGACAAGCACGGACATCCCTGCGAGTAAGGAACATGCACAAAGTACGGAAGTGTTTGAATGTTCTTCGTGAAGAGGTGTACAATATGGGCGGTAAACGAAGTTGTCGTACAATTTAGGGGCAGTAGCTTGCAGACAATTTTACCCGTCTCACTCTCAAGAGCATGAACTGGCGACTAGGCGACACAACACAAATTGCACAAATAGTTGCACGGGAAAAACTTGTGTGATATTTATCACGTCAATTGGCATAAAAGGGTAAGACGTCACACCAACGCGTGACGCCATACACATGCGACTTATCAAGAATGCCACACTTGGGATGTGACACATGTCACATTAGTTTTTCCAGTGCAAGGTTTAATCTGCACCATGTAGACTACAAACCGTAGGTCCAACGGGGCTTATTCACGAAAGGTGAAAGCACACTTCATGCGTCCTTTCTTCGCGGACGAAATGCAGTAAAAATTAATTGCGTCGTAGTTAAGTGGGGAGGGGGGGGGGGGGGGGGGGGTTGTTTCTTCGAGAGTTCCCCTTCAGCAGAAAATATATTTAATTGAACTCCCCATGTTCTCAATTCTTGGTAATACAAGGCGTCACGCATTTGCCTCTTTGGACGCAGTAGCTAGGCAGACTCGCCTTGACCCCTCCAGAGAAGAAGAGATCTGTGGTGGGTCTATGGCGCCATGGCTCCTGCAGCCCTGGCGGGTATGCAATCCCGCAACACAGCTGCGCATTCACAGTTACACCCGGTACAGGGTAGTCGCTGAGCACCGTGGGAGCAAATGCGTATACTGCCACGCACGCGGGCGAACGAGTTGCCTATTCGCACGGCGGGGCCGTGAGGCGCCATGGCCAGAGACGATAGAAAAACCCGTTACCGGCGAATGCGGGCTAGTTCACGCATTTGCTCCAACGGAGCAGAGCGACCACCCTGTATACCAAAATACTGAGGAAAATGCGGACTTTAAGTATACTTTTTGCCAACGTCGCAAGTCACCGTTTCAGGGGAGCAAAGCCTTTTCCCCACGGGCGAGACTGTTTTCTTCAGCTACGGCTTAACCAACATCGAAAGGATAAATAATTTCAGACTCGAAAGCCCTCTAGAGTGTCATATACAGCAGCACTTTTCACATTAAAAGTATACTCTTTGCACGGATGGTATTTAAATAATGAAAGAAGATAAAAATGCCCAAATATATTTTTGTTATTGGTACTTCCCCCTTTTACCGTTGTTTTTGTGATGAAGGAACCGGATGATCAATTACTCACAATTTTTTCCGTCTTTGAATACAACTATGTCCTGGAGTTTTCTCAAAGAAGGGTACAATGGAGGAAAGTTATCTGTGCACATGAAAAATATTTCCTGGTGGATGACTAGGCTAAATGAAACATTTCAACGTAAATCTCCTGCCTGCACAGGAACCATTTAGCCTCATACGTCATGAGTAAACCCACCCGACGAGAACGATCACATAATAAATTTATTGCGTTTTGTTAAATTTATCACAGAAGAAAAGAGGAGTAGCAACAAGGCTAAAGCAGTCCGTAAGGAAAGCTTAATAATTAAACCGAAAGAATCAATTATTCCTCGGATAAATTTTCACACATTTACCTCTACAACCATAAAAAATAATATTAAAAAAAATACAAATCAAAATTTGCCACTCAATTTTTACTTGGGGCGAAGAACCGCAGTGGCAGGCCTCAATCCAAAGTTTAACAGTTCTGTAGGCCTCAAGAAATAGTACAGGTTCGTGTTATATCTGTCTCTTTCTGGAACGGAGCCCTCTGACACGGCGGAGCACACGCAGTACTGTACACGTTTCTCAACCTTGTTTATCGTTGGCAATTGTGAAAATGCTGCGACGATCAGAAGGCATATCGATTTCACGCCAAGCTATGCTGTTGCCAACGATTTGCTGCCATTTCACTTCTTTACAAAAAAACAAAACAAAAAACAATGCAATAAAGGTGCAGTTATGTCTGGTCTGGGTGTAAATAAGGGTCGCGTTGAAAATTAATTTGACGATTTCATAACAGCGGATGTTTGAAAAATAAAATATTGTGCTAAACAGTTTGTTGAGCCAAACTCTGTGCGGAGTAGCAAGAAAGTTAGGAAATACGCTCATAACTTAATGGGCATAACCCATAAACATGGTTATGCGCTTAAGCGCAATCTCGCGAGCATGCTTTGGTGTGCTTGTGCTCCTACTCGCAGGTTGGAGGTTCCTGTTCCTGTCTCATGTGAACTTTTACAAACGCACGATCGCCGAACGCCGGAGAATAGCAAAAAAAAAAAAAAAAAAAAATTACAGTAATTTTCCTACTTCCAATCCAACACCCTACTATATTCACAGGCTCATGAGTGTGGTATTGCACGCTTTCTGAAATTCGTAAGTAATGATGTACATAAACCGAAAGTTTACTCCGGAAAGACCTGCAGTCAACATTTTGAACTTAAGTAAATCAGGTAACTTGTAAATACACAGCGGACAAAACCGAAAGTTATACGCCTAACTTCTGAGGAAGAAAAATGAACACTGAAAACAAACAATAGCTACCTTCATGAGATGCAAATGTACAACATCAGCTTGTAGAACTAATAACGGATCTATTCTACATAGAAAGACCTACTGAATGAGTATTAAGTTAGAAAGGGGAAAATAGCAATAGTACAAAAGAGTAATCTACACACTAAGATCGGCGCATTGATGCACTGTTTAATAATACGCTGGAAAGAAATCTGAAAGGTTTTAAATAGAATTACAGACCGCAAGGCTAAGCAGGAAGGGATTGGCATTTTTATCACCATGAGATCATCATATTGCCTTTCCTTTACGACAGTAAAAGCGATAGAGAATTCAGCTTCAGTCTGAGGTTTCTCTATCGGACTGTTTCCGTCTGTAATCAACCAGTTCTACTATCAATTAACTACGGCGTTAATCACTCGTCGTAAGTTATATACTTCTCTGACTAGACAGTTTCTTAATATTCTCCTTGGAAAATAGGAAATTTTTTGAGGCAAGATAGACAAAGTTTTTTTTCGTGGCACATATATAGTATGACAGACGACAAAGGATAGGTGGCGGGGTGCGAAGGAGAGTTTATAACATTGTGCGGAGACATCGAAATGCGAGTACCGGAAATAAGAACTCAGCGAAGATCTTAAAAAATAATCAGCCAAAGTGGCCTCATAACTATCTTACAGCGAGCAGGCGTACAAAATTGACGGTTTCCTTATGAATTACGATTTTTGAACACACATGACAAACCATGTGAATGAGAGAACATGTTTAAACTCACAAAATTTAAATTACGGTAAAAGTGTTACTATGGGCCGTCCACAAACCACGTGGCTCGATGTTTGGTCATTACAGGACACCCCTCCACTATACTCCAGGAAATCTTTCTTCGTGGCGCATTCTTTTAAAAAAATGTCCCCATCTCTCAAATTTCATCCACGTGGTTTGTCACGGCCCCTCATACACAAAAATTTAGATTTTTATTTTAACATTGATTTAGCATTATACATAAACGAATTTCGAAATCACCCTAACATTAAAAACGAGAGTAACAATATTGAGTTTAAAAACGAGATTGATTATTATACCCATTCTGAAACCAGCCCCTCAACCATAAAAGTCAGGAGTCGTTGGATTCAGACTTGCAAACAACCGGCATCATGTTTTATGAATAAAAAATAACAAAGGAATGTAACTTTTCTGGGCCAGCGGCACACGGCACACACGCGTGCTACGTACGAAGCGGGACAAGTTCGAGTCGAGTGGGGAGCGAGACCAGACTGTGTACAAACAGCTTATTCGAGCGTCAACTTAATCCAACCGGCAGCCTAGAGAGACCGTTCACTAGGACGTCAAAACAAATCATACATATTTTTGATAAGTCATACAGCATTGCAGCATCCATTGCCCCACCGACCACGCCAAAAATGTGCACGTGTAGACGCGCTATGAGTCTTAGAGTCAAATATGGAATATCCGAGAGCTGTACTCTTGTGTGCCTCCCCCCACCCTCTCTCTCTCTCTCTCTCTCTCTCTCTCTCTCTCTCTCTCTCTCTCTCTCTCTCTCACACACACACACATACACCTCAGCCAAAAGTGAAAATTGCATCGACCCCGATCTGAGGTCGTGTCGACCTCGACATCCCTATTCCAGTGACAAAATCAAGTTTTTCGAGCTACGTCGAAGTCGATCGACTTCCATTCCTGGCTGGGCACACCCGCACGCTCACGCTCACGCACAGTCCAGCGACGGCCCGGCGGCGGTGCATGACGCTGCTAAGTGAGAGGGTCAAGCACCCCGAGACAACACAAACAAGAGTAAAAATATACATTCAGAGATACAAGTCCACCACGTCGTGCAGCGTGGCGCCGCGGCGTGCGCACTGCACTGAGGACCGGCCCCAAAGCAAAGCCGGGTCGCACAATGTCTCTCAGGCTCCAGGCAGACTCTGGGCTGGCTGGGCTGGCTCTGGGCTGGCTTCGAACTGGCTCCGGGGCGGCTGCGGGGCGGCTCCCGGGCCCACCCGACCCTCTTCCTCACGCCGCAGCCCGCCCGGGTCCAGCCGGCCCCGTGCCCTATGTCGAGGGGTCGCCGCCGAGTGACAGCGCCTGCACGATGCGCGGGTCGGCCTTGGACCCTTCCCGGAACTCGTCCAGGGTCAGGCGGTCGTCGTGGTTCGTGTCCATCTGATCGAAGATCTTGTCGACCCTCTTTTGCGGCGTGTTCTCGTCTTCCGCTGTCGGTTGCTGGCCCTGAAACGTAAACCGTGCACCGTTTGAGGAGTGGAAGCGAGACATGACATAGGACACGAGTTATGTGAGGACCGCAACCTGACTACTCACCACCATCTGGTATATTGCATCTACTATGTTGTACATTTCTTCGCGAGTGATAAAGCCATCGTTGTCCACATCGTACAGTCGGAAGGCCCCTGCAACAGAACGCGCGGGACACATTAGTCAACGGAAGAGCGCCCGCCATCAGCAGGGTAGGCAACGCGCACAACACCGCTGCAGTGCGGGAAGCATACTCCCGCAAAGGAGGGCGTTTTCGAGGGTCGGACAGCAGAGAGAGAGAGAGAGAGAGAGAGAGAGAGAGAGAGAGAGAGAGAGAGAGTGAGAGTGAGAGTGAGAGTGAGAGTGAGAGAGAGAGAGAGAGAGATAGAGAGAGAGATGTGGGGGTGTCTCCGAGAAGGCCATAGGAGGAGGAGGAGGAGGAGGAGGAGGAGGAGGAGGAGACTGGTGGTAGGAGGGAGGATAAAAGGATGGACTCGAAGGAGGCCGTTGGAGGAGCAGGCGGCGACAGACGTACAAGAGCGCGCCGAGACAATGTGATGCGATTTCAGAACTGGGAGCGCAGCAGGAAGCAATCTGCGCACTTATACACCTCTCTCCCCCCCCAGCGCCTGTCCCTCGGGACCGCGCTGACATTAGCGTATCGACCGAACGAGCCGCGTCGTGCTCAATCGGGGGCAAAACACGGCGCAAGACACGGCCAGGGGCGCGGTGGGCGATCGAGGACAGGCAAAACGGAAACGAAAGACGGACGGGAAGAGAGCCGAATATCCCGCAGAGTCCCGAGGCTTGTCAAATGTCAACCTCCGTCCCGAGGCAGGCCCAAAGTTATGAATATTCGGCTGAGAGAATGTTTGCAGAGCAAGGAGCAAGGCCCCTGTCAGGCCAACAATTATTGGCACAGGGCCTACGTGAGCTAGGTGAGCCGCGTGGCGGGGTAAAAAAAATGAGAGGGAAAGGGAGAATTATTGATAGAGTTTATAGAGCATGTCGTGAAGCGCCTCTTTAAAAAAGTTCAGCATAACGTTTACCTAAAATGTTTTTTTTTGAGCGTTTTTTTTCTTTAAGTTTTTCATGGTCTGCACTGCTGACGGTTGCATCACGACGGCGAAAGCTTCAGCTCAGCGCGCCACTGCGGAGCCGCTGCAGGAGGGGGGGAGGGGAAGGAGGAGGGGAGGATACTGCTGGCACATCCTGCGGGACGGGCCTTGTGATTTTGATGCGGGCATTTCGCCCGTCTAAATCACGTGAAAGAGGTCCGAAAAAGAGGGATCTGCAATGCGGAACCATTGCAACTTAAAGAGAGTGAGAGGGTCGGCGACTATTTGGCAAATGTTTCCTCAGATGAATACCGCCTGGGCACCGAGGAGGTGAGGAACTTCTAGCTATTGCATATCAGCTAACATCACACTTACAATGAAGCTTTTCGTCTAAATTTCCTCTTGATGTGACTGATAGGGCTCGGATAAATTCTTCAAACTCAATTGAACCATCCTGTAAAACACAAAAAAGAGAAGTGTCAGTAAAACGGTTCCTGTATGTTGTGTGTTAAAGGCATTTTCAGGAAATTAAAGAGCTGAAACTTTGCTGACCGCATAACAAGCATATCAAAGTCAGTTTAAATTATTTACGTCGTACTCACATTATTTTCATCGAATACTTTGAAGACAAGTGATGCGAATTTGGTTGGATCTCCTTGTGGAAAGAACTGCTTATAAATCTTGATGAATCCCTGCAGAAAAACAGAAGTAAAACGAAGGTTAGTGGAAATGTATCACCAAAGAAAATCGCGGAGCGCTCTTTCGACGTCAAGATTACCCGCTGAGGGGGCCGGTTAGAACGGTTAGAACCTTCCCCCAGGGCCATGCGATTCCCAGTGGTGCGCTGGAGGGACACACGAAGAGTCGACTGTCGCATTGAAAGAAACACGTTTTCTCCATTTCATTGTTAATGGAGCTCCCTTATCCCTTTCAGCGGGATTGGAAATAAAAGAGGGACAGAAATGGGCAGAGGGATACAGAGTAATAGTCCAACGGTGAAGACTGCTGTTCGGGAATGCACAGCTGTTAACATTAAAAATGCAAAGAGGCGTGCGTACGTGAGATAGAAGGAGAGGGATGGAGAAGGGCGTCTGGCAACGACGTGGGCGCTGGCGATATGGCAAAGGTGTCGTTGGGTGGAATAAGGCGAGGGACGCAAAGCAAGGTAAACGGGTCTGTCAGCTTGAGGTCAGGTCAGGGAGGAGGGGCGGCGGAGGTGCAGGTCAGAGGGGCGGGCGTGGGAGCGGAAGTGAGTGGCCGCGAGCCACATGCCATAAGCCATTGTCGGTTAAGGAGTCAAGCGTCCAGGCGGCAGAGGGGGGCCGAGGCGGGGCGGG